CACCCATCAGAACCCTGGAGAGGATAAATGTAAGTTGTGGTTTTGTCTAGGTTTATTTACTCCTAGACATACAGCAAATTCACATGATTTTTACTGTTCTAGCTTTTCTTTTTATTTTTTTTTAATCAGAATTGCAAATACAAGTTTAAATTTCAGTTATAACAGTCCCCACAACCAATCCTGCAGAATTACATCCAAAGGAAAAAAAAAAAGGTGTGGGGGGAGGGAGGAAGAATTAAAACATTGTACCCTCTGACAACACAGTTGGGTTGGGGTTTTAACACGTGGTTGCTAAGGTCAGTGGTTTGCTTTGCAGAATTGGAGCTTGAAAGTCACTTCCATTTCTGTGCAATTAATTTTTGCTGTCTGCCTGTTATCCTCAAAAGCTTTTTATGAGTCTCTTCCATCTTAAATGTGAAGCCAGGAATTTACTGATTATTCAGTTAATATTTTAACAATTTAATAGACCAAACTAGTGGTTCTGTTACAAGAAAAAAAACATGATAGTGCAAATTAATAAGGCAAAACCTCAAAGAAACAGTAAAATCTGTTATGCAGGGGAAACCCTTCCTGATGCCTTCACCTCCAGGCTGGGGTTGAGCTCCCACTTTCAAGTCCCTCCTGACCGTGAGGGTGGCAGCTTCCACCTTCCAGAAGCCAAGCCAGGGTGAGACCAGGACAGCAGCCTGAGGTGGGGCAGTGCAGGGGGCTGGGTCTCCTCTGTGCCCAGAGATGCTCGATGGTGGTGGTGACACTTCCTCCTGGGGTTGATTTGTACATCATATATCCATGGTCAGCCTACACTGCTGCTTCTTGTTGGTCCCTGGGTGCTCAGTTTTTCTGTTCTCTTCTTGCCCTGAAGTTGTTTCCCCAGCTGCTGCCATGGCCTGGGGCTGTGTTTGGCCATGCCACCTTCCCCAGGAGCTGAAATGGCCGAGAGCCCCCAGGATATCAACTCTAAACTAAAGCAAACTGCAATTACTGCTGACTAAACAATCACTGGTGTGGCTGAACAAGCTGAAATCAACCCAGCTCCAGACAAGTCCCAAGCCTGTGGTCAGGTTGGTGCAGAACCTGTGGCCTTTCAGTGCTTATGAATGACATTTCCTGGGCTGCTGCCTGCTAGAAAACACTGTGACACCCCTCCCCGTGGCTGGTGGCTGCTCTGGCTTGGCTGCATGAGGGGATCTCTGAGGAACTGGGCTGGCTGGGAGAAACATCTTCTTCAATGGTGGTCCATCATGTCCTGGTGTGAAAAGGCCTTATACCTGACAGGGGTCTGGAGGAGGTAGTGGTGTAGGAAAAAATATTTACAAAGGCCCTGTCCCTGGGCAGGGGAGAACCATAAACGGTGAATTTCCAAGTGTCTCTGTCTTTCAGCCTGCTCTTTGTGCCATAACATGTGTTTTAAACAATGGTGAGGGTCTCAAAAGGCTTTGAGAGCACAGCTACTTCTCATTTACAGATGACAAGCTGCCTGTTGTTTTCTGGTGGGCTTGGTAGGGGCTAAGGTATAGCAGAATATCTAAAGTCCACCTTTGCTTTAAACAGATGCATTTCTATCTGCAGGAGTAAGAATTATTTCACTTATCAGCATAGCTGGACAGTTATCTATTTCTTTCTGTTACCAAGGTACTTGTAACTCTCTTGCACTGTTTATCTAAAGTTGAAATATGTTCTTTGAATCCTTGTATAAATAAAAAAGGCTGGAGACAAATCTGTATTTACAGGGCAATTATTTCTTCTCCATTTAAAGGCAAGTCTGGCATTTTCTTTCTTTTTCCCTTGCTAAGGCACAGATAAAGGCCAGGTCAGGAGCCCTGAGGAATGAAACCATGTTTCAGCCACAAGTGTGTAATGGGCTGATGGCAGTGTTGGCAGTAGGGATCTGCCTGCATTCCTGTACCTTTCAGAGGAGCAGCTGCTGGGTTCTATGGATGTGTGTTTGTGGGAACAAGGTGAGCCTGGTTTGAGCCATCAAAGCGAGGACCCTGTTGTCTCTCATCTAGAAGCACAGAAAGTCCTGGCATAACAGTATAAAAAATCAGAAATGCCCTTGGTATTTGTCATTACAAAGTGTTGTACAGACCATGGCTGTGCACCAGTGCAGCTGTTGGACAGGCTCACAGCAAGCAAAGCAGCGAGGGGGATGTTTCATCTCCAGCATGTGCTTGAGACTGAGCTGATGCAGCAGAAAGGTTTGTGCTTCAGCTCTGTCCACTTCCAGAAGTGGGTAAGTGCAGCTGTCAAGGTGATGTGTTGGAAGCTGCTCATGAAATGTCTACAAGAGACTTGGTAACTGAAAACTACTAAAAGTGTATCCTTCTGCCTGGAAGCAAATATCAGCTGAATTTAATAAACTGACTGATACCCCTGAGTGAGTAGGTATTTATTTAGATTCCTCTCCTTCAGCTACAGCTATTTGCACCATATGCATGCATTTGTATAAACAAAAGTGCAAAAATATAGGTCTTCTCCTTGGAGAAGTTTTGTGCACACCAGTCACCTGCTTTGCCTCCTCAGAGTCTAATTGCAATCTGAAATAACAGCCTCTTACAGCTTGGTGTTTACTAAAGGTGTCTGAAAACATTTCTGCAGTTCATAATGTCACTGAACGCTGCATGTTTGTAAATTCACTGCTAAGAGCTTGCAGGAGGTGTAGGGTGTGGTACAAGCTCAGCTCCCACTCCCCTGCAGCCACACATGGAAGGCTTCAAGGGCTCCAAGAGCAGCCCAGCACATCCTGGGAGCTCACCAAGACCCTGGGGCCAGACACTTTGCAGGTGCATGGCAGGAGGACAGGAGACAGCCATTGTGACTGGGGCTGTTGGCAGCATACCCCAGTGCCACCAAGACCAGAAATACCCCAGGAAAATCTGGATCATCAGGAGGCATCAGAGCTTTCCTAATGAGGGGGTGAGGCTCTTACCCTGCTTTCAACCATCTTCTTACAGAGGCAGCAACCAGCTTCACTGCCAGAAGATGGCATTTGTGTTTAACTTATAAATTACTCTGTGTGTAGTGACAACTGCCCTGATCCGAACTCCTCCTCTGCACTGAGACACTGTACAGGGCAGGCTGGTGGGAAGGGATCAACTTTCTGGCATGAATGACCATCCTTAAGTCAGCTGTTGGCAGGTAGCAAATAAACATCCATAGCCTCAGAGAGAGGGAGCTCAGGTGCAGCCTCAGTGGCATTTGCTGGTGCTAAATGAGGACAAGAATGGTGCCCTGAGATGGTGTCACCTGGGCAGCACCTGGACCAGTGCTGGGATGAGCTGCAGGAACTGGCAAACCAGTAACTCACACCAGGCTTGTCTTCAAACCCCAGAGCAATCTGATGGGCTACTGCCACCCACACAGACCAGTGGAGGGTTCATGGCACAGCAAGGATGATGCCATGCTAAATAAAGATTATGGTTTTGGTATGAACTGGAGTGTGCCATAAAGCACCACCCAGGGACCCTCTGCAAGGGCCCAAGAAAGCCCACTGATGAGTGCGGGCAGAAGAGGGATGAGCCTCTGTCAGAGGCAGCAGCTGGCTCTATTCCAGTGTGGGGAATTGTCATATGTCTGTCCCACAAGGAAGTCCCTGGCAGTGATTGCAGAAAGGTTCCTTGCCTGAATGCCAGCATCATGGCCTGGGAATAAGGGGTGTGCCACGGAAATGCTAATTTTGGCAAGAGCCACTGCCAGGGAACATCCAGAATCCCTGGTAAGAGTGGCTGTGGGGGAATCTGGGAGCCCTCCCCATGCTGCTGGGGTGGGCAGCATCAGGGTCTCCTGTTGAGTTTTCTCTTTTCCAGCTGCAGGATTCCCAGCCTGAACTTGGCCTTGCACCAGCCACATGCCCTGAGCACAGGAAGCAAGGGGGCAGATGAATAAGCCTGCATGTGGGAGCTGAGCCATGTGCTGGGTAACAGGAGGGGACACCATGCTCCTGTGCTCATGGCAGAGAGCCGACTCCTTTGGCCCCAGAGCCAGCACCTTGCTGACAGGCTGCCAGTGACAAATCACGTCAGGTGTATGGCAGGTCGAGTTCTCCTTCCTCCATGATCAAATAAAAGCTCATCACTTTCAATTCCTTAATGAGTGGCACTGCATTTCACACCTGTCTGTGCTCTGCTGCTGCAACAGTTCAGGTTTTGTGTCAGCAGCAAATATCAGCCAAATGTTCCTGTTTTGCCTGAAAGTCAAGGATTGAAGCAGCTCAGCCTCCAGGAAGCAGCTGGCGCCTGTGAGCAGCACCTGGCCAGCACTGGCCAATGTGACCTTCACCTGGCTGTCCCCACCTGTCCTGTGCAGCTCAAACCCATGTCAGCACACTCTGGTGTAAGATACTCTCTGCCCTCGCAGCACACCAGCAATTCTACTGAAGTCCAGAAAGATTAGCACTACGCTATCTGGCCAGACTAGTAAATCATTTTCTGGGCACTCAAAAGACGCTTTTGTTGTAGGCGAGTGGCATCGAGATGCTCTGGAGAAGATCAGAATCACAGAATCACAGAACGTACTGACTGGAAGGCCCACAAGGGTCATGGAGTCCAGCTTCTGGCCTCACACAGAACATCCCCAAGAGTCACACCACGTGCCCAAGAGTACTGTTCAAACACTTCTTGAACTCAGGTTTGGTGCTGTGCCCACTGCCCTGGGGAGCCTGTTCCAGTACCCAACAACTCTCTGGCTGAAGAACCTTTTTCTAATCTCCAACCTAAAGCCGCCCTGACACAACTTCAGCGTTGCATCACTGCGCGGACAGCACGGCAGCATTCCCGTCAGAACACAGCAGGTAAGCAAGCAGCTGCTCTGGGGGTAGCGACTGCACAGATCCATTGGCTTTACAAGTGAGCCGTGGGCTGTGAAAGCGCTTCCAGCTTCCCAAGCGCAGCAGCTCCCGGGATGCAGCCGGCACTAGGACCTGCTGGAGCCGCTCCGGCCGCGGGAGCGGATAAATATAGCAGGATAAATATAGCAGGATAAATATAGCAGGATAAATACAGCAGGGCAGGGCGGCCGTGCCGGGAGCGCCGTGGCTGCCCCGTGTCCGCCGATGCTCCAGCTGTGCCCGGTCACCTCCTCGCTGCTGCTGGGCACGGCCAGGGCGGCGTGCGACGAGGAGCTGCTGCTGCGGGAGGGGATCACCTTGTGCGTGAATGTCACCCGGCAGCAGCCGTTCCCCGGCCTGCGGCGGGTCCGCGGCATCCGTGTGCCCGTGTTCGATGACCCGGCCGAGGACCTGGCCCGGTTCTTCGAGCCGTGCGGTGCCGCTATGGAGGAGGCCGTGCGGGCCGGCGGGAGGTGCCTGGTGTACTGCAAGAACGGCCGCAGCCGCTCCGCTGCCATCTGCACCGCCTATCTCATGAGACACCGGCAGCTCTCGCTCAAGGACGCCTTCGAGGTAGTGTGCCTACAGCCAGATTCGTATTTACTGCTCTTTTGGGGAAGAAATGCAGTGCTTCTTATGAGTAATGATGATTTCTTGTAGAATTATTTTGGTGCTTTCACCTGCCCCTCACCATTTACACAGAGATTCAACATTTGAATAAACAATCCCCTGTAAGTTTTTTCGTGCCCAGCTTGGTCTAATAAGTTTTCAGTGAGGGGTTTCTAGGATGAAGATAAATACAAATGCAAGTAGGCTTTAAGCACAGGTAGCAAACGTACAAAGCTGGTTGCTTAGTGAACATTTTCTCTATTGTTTGCCCAGCCATGACAAGTGAGGACACATACAGTGAGTAAGTGCAGGAACTGTTCTGCAGGGTTTGCTCCACACAGCAAAAAGACAACCCCGTTAGGCCCTGCATGCCTCAGGACCTGCTTGCTATCAGCCAGAGCTGTATTGCAATAAGCAATGACACGCCAGCTTTCCTAGGAAGCCTGTGCAATACAGACTTGTGCTTTATGGGTTTTTAGTCTTCACCCGCTTGTCAGGTGTATCACTTTAGACAGCCAATCTGCTTAATTCAGAGACTGCAGAGAGTGACCAAGTTTCACTATCATCTTAAACATGAGCAGTGTCACTGCTCTTGGTGAGAGACTTTCCCATTTCCTGCAAATCAACAGCTCTGTCTTGAGTCTTGCCCACAAATCCGTTCTGTAATCGGGCCCATGTGCCAGTTCTTAGCAAGGACAGAGTGAAGTCAGCTCACCAAAATAGCTGTTTGTTACTCTGGAGCCAAATCAAAACCAAAGTAAATCTTCTCAAAATTTTAAGTTCAAAGTTCATTTGCATGACTCCCACAAATGCAGGATACCTTGCTTCTACCATGTCTCTCCTGTTCTCTAGGCTGTGAAAACTGCCAGACCTGTAGCAGAACCGAATGCAGGATTTTGGTCTCAGCTGCAGAAATATGAAGAAGATTTGCAGTCTGCTCTGCTGAGCAAAGGACATAAAAATAGCTATGTGTGAAGATACTTTAAAGAAAGTGAAGTGACTTGCTACAGACTTTAAAAAAAAGGAAAAAAAAGCACTTCCTAAATCACCTGTATGTGAAACACTTTATCCCCTGATATATATAATATATATATTATAACTGAGTAGATGGCTCATTAAATTCATTCAGTGAATTTCTGTTGGTAATATATAGAAACAGGACAGAAAAACAGGGAAAACAGCAGAAATAGAAAATGGTTGGAAGGACTGTAAACAAACCAGAGAAAGGCATAGAATTTTTAGCAGTTATTTTGCCTTCAATGACACTGAATGTGGTAACAATGTACTGAATGAAGGAAGAGCACCGGGATTTTATTCCTGTTTTTAATTAAACTTCCCAGTAATGCCATTAGAAGACATGATGCCAGACCAAGGAAGTTCTGAATTTCCCTCTCACCTGCTGGATCATAATTTATGTTAATGAGTTGACACAACCTTTGGTGGAAAACTGACAGTGGTTGATGCTTTGTCTCTGCAATTTTCCTTATGTTCAACTAGACCAAAGTACCTTCACAAATTACCCAGAAATCCAGAGGGCAGAATATACAGATGATGGTAAGGAGTTCAGCTCCCACCATGCAGGCTAAGTGCCTTTTCAGCTTTTGAAATTATTCTCTAAAAGGAATCACCAAAGGAATGATTTGAAAACCTGCAGATGATAGTGAAGGGAAGAAGATGAAACTGGCAATCTAGAAGTAATCCCCACTCCTTTTAGCTTTACTTACTAAGCCAAGCAGTGCCCAGTTCATGCCTTAATGTGTCAGTTTACAAGTCAGCTGTTCCTGCATGCAAGCACCATGGCTAAATCATTTCTGCTGAGACTGTTTCCAGGTTGCCCTCCAAAATTATCTTTTGGGCCACCAAGGGAACCTCATGAAACTTCCAGATCAGACTGCTGAGTGTTTATCATTAGCCATTCAAAACAGAGTTTTGTCAAACTCTATGAATACATTTGTAATTTTAAAGGGACAAGTTATGGAACCTGAGAACCTGCAGGGTGAAATTACATTCCACCTTGCTGAAAGCATAAATACAAATTAAATTAGCTCACTGCCATCTGCCTAAGTGCTCACACAAAGTAAACATATGCTCCCAGCAGTGGACTAGTTTAAGGCAGAAATTCTAATGATGGAACATTGACAGAAGATAAAACCACTGGGGAATTACATGAATTAGACAATTCAGATGCAGTAAAAGTTCCCAAAGTTAAAGACTGCTCAAAGTAGTGGTTTTTTAAAAGCTCCTTAATAAAGGAAATAGAAAACCATAGAAATAAAAATTCAGGCTATCATTTTAGTTACCACAAGGCATTTTCGCACCAGATGCTTTCTCCATTCCCAGATGTCTTTTGTTCTTTCTGTATCGTTTATCTTCTGTATCTGCATTACAGCCAGAAAGAAATTTGTTGCACATCTGCAGATTTGAAGGTGAGTGGTTGCTAGAAAAATTTTTGTAGCTTTTATAAACCTTCATATAAACCATCATATGTAATAAGAATTTCAGTATAACATAATTTCCTTATTAGAGGATTCCACTCGTCAAAAAATCTGTTTCAGTCTGTGGAACAAAGTTTATTTCTTGTCAAAAGCTTAAGCTGCTAACAAAACAAGGAAGCTAAACATTAATGAAAACACAACACATTTCTAACTGTGAGGCATATGAACTTGCAGTCAGATACAGCTATCAGTTCCACATGTTTGAGTCAGCTGAAATAGAAACCATTGCTCTTGAGTGTCAGCATATACTGCGCTCAGGTTAAATTTTACCAGGCTTCTCAGCATGCAGAAAACCTTCATGCCACAGGATTTCACATCATGGCATCTTCTGTAGAAAGCTGTTTACATCTGAAAACTGTTCCTATTTACATTGAAAACCATACCTCCTCTTGGTACTGCTCCAAATTAAGGCATAGGATTGCAATTTGGAACCGGAATAAAGAAGCAGTTGACTTCTTTATTTGAGTTCATAACCCACTAATGCTACAGGTGATGCAGAATGGAAGCTCAGACATACTCCTTGTTGCTTATGACGGTCTCAGAGCTCCTGGGGTACATGTGTGGCTGAATAGCTGCCTGGGCTGATGAATATGCATATTTCTTGGGACTGCAAATCAAGAAAAAAAGATACAAAATAATAGGTGTTAGACACATGCCCATGGTTTCAGATATTTAGAAGTTACTCAGTTAGCTTTGTATCCAACCCACCAATAGCACACTCTTCACAACAGGGCAGAAATTAGAGGCCTCCAGTTCTCATTGTTCTGGTAGCTAAGGGGGAATAGGTGGGGTCCCTGGTGGGCTGCACAGCCCATCTCTCTTGTAACCCCAACCACACTCTGGATTCCTAACTCACATGTGCTCTTCCTCGAGGCATTTCAGTCAAGGACTTCAAGCAGAAGCCCTCAGCACCTTTGCAAAAGCTGCAGGTTTTAATACAGGAATCAAGATGACGAAGAAAAAACAGAAGTATCTGAACCCAACCTCTTCAACTGTCATTCATCACACTGAACTTCTATTTCATATATCAGTTTTACCTGATTTTCAGGACATTTCAGGACATTTGGTACTTTGTATCAAAGTAAGGTGAGCAAGTTCTAAAGTCCAATGTGGCTGATGAAGTATTACCATAAAACAGAAATGGTTTCAGATTAGGCAATGGAGTGTCAGAAGAACACTCACTTACTACATTTTTAAATAATTTTCCCAAGATTAAACACACCAACAATGAATATGCTTCTTCCTTGCATATTCTCTCATATCCTCTCAAGTTGAGCTACTACAACCTCCAAGCTATTTGAGTTCTGTTAGACATGGACCTCTGCTATTTCTGCCTATTTCATCCCTCTCCTTCAAAAAGAGGCCTTCTGTATGTGTCAAAATTCAAGACTGAAACAGAAATGCAGGAAAGGTTAAATATTGAGGCCAGAAACCTCCCCTTTTCTGATCTGATGTGTGACAAGACATTTCCATAAAGAACAAGAAAAAAGCCAAGTTTCTAGTGATCAATTCCATGTGCTTTGGGAAATGCCTTTACACTTTCTGCAAACTGAAAAGTGTTTGAATATTTTAGTCACAGTGAGTACTGCAGAGAAACAGGATTGTAATACATTATGGGGTTCTATATACTTTTCTTTTGGCTCCAGTTTGCTCTTTCACTACACATTTTCACCATCAGCAATTCCCAGAATTACCAAATACAAGTTAGAGGGGACTGCTGATGGTGATGCATCAAGTACCCTGTCTGGGAGGTACAAGTGTTTGGTACAGCATCCTCTGCCATCACCAGTCTGTGACATACCATAGAACTGTTTGTAATTTACACATATTCATACCAGGGGGTGAGAGAGAGACAGAATAGAGCACAGATAGAACAGCTGCTACTTCAACTGACAAATCCAAAATTACCTGTAATTCTGTTTTTCCTTCCCTCTGCATGAACAGGTCAGTAAGATCCCACCAAGTATGTAAAGGATAGATCCAGCCCAGCCTAAGTACAGAGCTTCTCCTAGTTCATACCTGAAACATGAAAGATTTTATGGAAACAACTTATAACAGGATCACAAAGCCTGTTATGCAACCAAATTCTAATCTGTGTAGAAATCAGCTAACTGAAAGGCACTTCAAGAGTTAACAGAGAACAGATCTGGCTTTGTGTCTGCTCAGTAAAACTCTTATTTGTATAGAGTTGCTCTGCCAAATTAGAGACAGTACAGAGAGTACTAAGCAACATAAAGATAAGTAGCAATAAATAATTGTGTGTATTTAACAAATTGTTGATGATAAATAATAATGACATACCTTCTATGCAATTCACATCATTTATTTTGCCCTTTTATTGGCTGTAAATGTCATTGAAATGATTCTGTGAAACTGAATGATTCAGATCTTACTGTCATATGCTGAGAAAAGGCAGACCACAGACATCAGTTTTCTATGGACACAACATTAAGTCACTTACAAGTAGCTGGTTGTATAGAGCTAGTTTTCAAACTTAGATATCCTAAAGGATATCCAGCACCCTCTGTGGTTGTATGGCTGAAAGGCATTTATGAATGTCACAGGCTGAAAAAAAATAGCTCCCTATTTTACTGTACAAAACTATACCTTTCAGGAAACCCCCTAGACCAGTCCAAGGAATTCAATAATAATGAGTTTGTTCCAAAGACTAGACACAACTGAGTCTGGAAAAGTCTGACAGGAGTTTCATACAAAGAGGAAAACAAATCTTTATGATCAGAAAAAAACTATATCCACAATCCACCTGTACATCTCTGGTCTGAGATCCCCAATATCAGGACAAAATAAGTGTCATGGACTGCATTGAAGGCATCATGGAACCTGAGATTTGTGCTTTCTTTCCACTTGGAAACACAATTATTTAAAAGTGTCAAAACTTCTGATTCTGGAATTCTTTGCTAACAGGAGGGTTTCAGAGGTTTACACAGGTTCACAGCTCTCTGTGCTCTCATCACACGTGGGAGCCACAGGGTCTCCACTGATTTAGGTACTTCCAAACACAGAACAGGCAGAGAGTCATTATCAAAAAAACCCAGGAGTACAAATTGCACATTGCCCAGTGCCTACAATCATTTCTGCTCACTTGTCACCTACAGACAAGAATGCTGTAGATGTCATACCAAAGCAAAATATATAGGAGACATCTGCAAGAGAACTTAATTTGCCTTCAGAGCTGTAGGAGAAACTCCTCTAAGAATTAGCAGAGGTCAACTTCACTAATTTGCTGAAGTCAGATCAGAAAAATACAATCTGAAAAACCAGATTTGCCAGTCTCTTAAGAGTGATGATCAATACTGGAATGCAAGTGAATTTAAACCTGTCTCACAGACTCCATGTCCAGCTTTACCAATGATCAAACTTAATTCATCAAGAACTGCTCAGTGAATCAATAACTTAAATATAAAGTTTAGATATTAAAAAAAATATAAAATATTTCTTTAGCTACTGAATGCAAACCTTCTGGTAACTGATTAACAGGCATTTATATTGAAGCCCCAAAGCTATAGCAGGTAACTATAAAACACACCAACTATCCAACTAACTGAAATTCCTTATCAATGGTTGTTTCAGTTCTCTAATGTATTTATTACCCTTCATATAGTTCTTTCAAGGGGATATAAAGCAACAAAAAGTAACCGCACAAATACAATTTCTTTCTAAGCACTTCATTGAAAACACAGGAAAAACTGACAAACAATAAAGGCAGTTGCTTAAAGTACTTTGATTTATCACAAAGCACTTCACCTCTGACTTCCCTGAACTGATTCCTGGGCAGGAACTTACAAAACACTTCAAATATGAACCTAGCAACTAATGATTTATAGTTTACTGATCTATGAATTATATACTTGGTAGAAGTATATTACAGATGTCTCATATTCCACAGACAATATCTTTCCCTCTCCTTTCCCCCCCTCTCTGAAGGAGAGGCCCAGCCACCTCTACCTCTGTTCCTCATTGCTAAACAGGGCACCTAGATAAGGTACCATAAGCTGCCATTTGGTTTTGACAACTGTTACTTTTATATCAGATAAAGAGTAAGGGCTTTTATACCTTGAAACTTGTTTGTATGCAACTGCACTAGCTGATAATCCCACAAATTCTACCTCATTTTAACTCATAAGGCAAACAAATGTTGAGCTGTTAACACATGTAAGCCAGGCAGCAGATTTCTCTGCAGGCCACTAGCACAAAACTCGAGCTGCTTTGCATGCGATTTTCCCTCACATGTACATCTAAGGTACTTTATTCTAGCCAGAACTTGAGTTTTGTACCTCTTTTGGTCTAAATGCCAAAGCACATTTAAGAATTTTACCTTTTCTTCTTCATAACATTGAGATACGCATTTGAGTCTCTCAAGAAAATGCAAACACAGTACAAAACCCCCTCAGATGCAGGGTTGGTATTCCTCACACATCCACTCACTCTTCCAGAGAAGAACTCTCCTCCCTCCCCACCAACAACTCTGAGGTGAAAAAATTCCCTGAATACAATTTTTCCCTCCTGTAGGACTGGATAATGGGATCCATCCAGGCTCTGAAAATCTGAAGCAGCTGTCTAACAAACGATGGAGTTTGGTATGACAGATACATTTAACTTACTTGGTTCCAGCGTACAGTTGATTAAAAAACTGAGCAGTAACCATTGCAGCATACCAAGAAATAGCCACCATGGAGCAGAGACCTACCAGAAAAAGTTTAAAAAGCACAAAGGTGAATGATTCCTTCAATGGCTGTAACAGATTTAAACAAAGAACAAGTTTATTTCATTTAGTCTGGCTATGAAAGCAATTAAAAGTATCAATAGTGCTCACATTTCAGATTCAATATTACCTCCTAAAATAAAAAGAAATCCTCCTGTGACAGTAAACTTCATTTTTCCATCTTCATCACTCAACCCAATGTTTGTGCATTTCATACCAAGCAGTGAGAATACTGCAGCTACGAATCCCAAAAGGATGGAAGTAATCATCAGGGCACGGCATGCCTGAATGTGAGCTAAGACAGAAAAAGAGAAAACAAATCAGGATCTGTATAGAAATTACATTAATCTTGTCTGGGAAAAAAAAAAAAAAAAAAGGGCTTAAAGGAAGTGACAAAATTAACAGGTGCAATAATGAGTGAATCTTGTCCAGCTTTTTCATATGGTTCAGAGAAGCCTCCAAACCTGTGTGTTTAGCCTTCAAGTCAAACAGATTTGAGACTTTAACTATGCCTACCCCTTACAAGCTCAGGAAATCCTCTTGTGTCTTTAGTAAATCCTGAAAAACTACAGCAAGCTACTCATCCCTTACATTCCTGTGAAAATGCCTAGTGGTACACATGGTCATTTGCAGGAGCAGGAAATAGTCTCCTGCTCACAAGCCCTCTCAATTCCTGACACGTGTACAGATGAGTGCACAGGACACATCTGAAATCCAGGTGATGGTCAAGGTGTGCAAGGCTCTGGCACTACTGAGGAACTGGAGAATGGTGCCAGCTTTGCTGCTTCCAGGGAGGGATAGGAAAGAATTGTGCTCAAGTTAGCAGTGCACTTCAAACTTGGTGTAACAAACAGGAGGTGAGTGCACCTGAGAGCTGCAGCACTCCTCCTAAGACATTGTCTTGGGGAGAGGTTACAGCTGCTTGTGAGCACATGAAGGAATCTGGTATGCTGGCAATTCTGCATACTTTAAAAAACTGGTCTTCACATCCTGGTATCAATTGCACAAAAACCAGGACTGGATTATTAATCAGCCTAAGAAAGAAGGTGAAACGGGGACTTTGGACTCCTTTAAAATGGCACCCTGCATTTGGCAGGCTCCAGGTCAAATGGCACTTCGGCGCCTTTGTTGAGAGATAAACATGCCAAGCATCACAATCTGGCAGGGTCACAGCTGCTAACTTTGTTGACTTGATTATCTTTAAGTTCTCTTCCAACCTAAATGATTCTATGACTCTATGATTTTAATCATACATCAGAAGGGTCAGACCTGATCTCAGCTGGACACTCACATCGTTGATACCAGCATTCAGGCTCTTGCTCCCTGACCATCTCCATGTCCTCCACAATAACCTAGTCTAGTTCTGTAGCAGAGTGAGCTCCAGACAACAAAAATCAGACAGAGAGACAGGAGGCAAAGTGGTACTCACACTCCAACTCAGCCTAATGTGGCTTAAGAGTACTGGTCCTACAAGCTTAAGAGTTACCAAAATAGCAATAAGCACTGATGAGATAAATATACAGAATCAAAGGCTAAAATAATTTGAGGAGTTAATGCTTTGTTAAGCTCTAATTTTAAATTTTTTCTGGAAAAAAATTAAGACACTACTAAAAGTGGAAAGACTCCTCAAAACACCACTGACACTTCAAGGTTTTTGCCTGCAGAAGATACTGTTAAGGTAAGTACTCTACAACACTGCTTTCAGGCTTGGGATCTTACACCATGGCAATCACCCAGTGGGGTCCAACAACATTCCATATTTCAGGTCCTGGGGACTCCTGCAGTGTTACATGGGACTCCCCATCTCTTTCCAGGACACACAAGCATAGCCTTGCTTGCAATCCAATGGGAAAGGGATTTCATACAACTGTGCCACAATACCATAACCTCAACAACCTTAACTGTGCACCTTAGCTCACAATTCAGAAAACACAATTTTTAATTTTAAACTTAGGTTATTTAACAAAATACAAAGTCAGTTCATTTTATTAGTCACACCAATCGTAAGAAATTATCCTCAAATCCTGTCATTGGAAAAAACACCTATGGAACCTTAAAAAGAAGAGCGGTGGGGGTAGAGTTTAAAAAGCTTTGGCAACTAGTTATATTAAATGTTTGATTTAGTTGTGACTAGACAGACATTGTATATGGAGTATACATATATATATATACAGTATAGTATATTATTTGGAGTAGCCAATCATGGTTTCAGTCTTGTGCAATATTGCATTTAAAAAGCTCCTCACTTCAAATATTTGTCATTTAGACTAATGGTTTAGTGAACTCAAAAGCATTAAATTGGTTTCAAAGAACCAAGTCTGACTTTTCCCATACATAAAGCAAAATCCAGAAGTATTCCACACTGCTCAGTTGCCAATAAGGAAACTTGCATGGAAAATCTTCATTGTCTGATGAGACATCATTCTGATGAGAGGTAACAAAGACACTTTTGTTTTTTCTTTTTGCCCTCCCTCCAGTCCCTGGCATCCTCGCAGCAGTTTCAGCTAAGTTTCTAAACAGGAATTTGAAACACACCTAAACTGTCCATGGTAATTTTTAATCCGCCTTGGTTCATATCTGCAAGCGCCATGGATGTTTCTCAGAGGTCCCACTGTCTGTTGAGCCTGTGTTTTTACCAAATCCATTTTCTTCCTCTTTCCTGCTCTGCCCAGCCATCCTTTCAACTGTTGCTACCATCTCGTGAATTCCGACTTTTCTTTTTCAGCTTTCCTTTCTGAAAATGTTTTATCTTCACAGTTTTGCAAGCTGTTTTTCCCTTCCCCTTCCCCCCGCCTTTACCCCTCAACTATACTGCCATGTTCTCAACTACAGGACTGATCTCCTCTTCAACAGCTCAAACCTAATCTTCACAACTTCACTTCAGAGTTTGTTCCAGTCATTTACTTTCTGGCCCCACTTCTCTCCTGCCTGCTGGCTCTGTGTTGTTACCTGTAGCTCTCAGGAGCCCTGCTGTTGCTTGCCTTCTGTTGTGTTTGCTTTGACACGGTGCTGTTTTCTGACCCCCACCAGGTTCTTTCAAACCCACTTTTCTCTGCAGATGCTGATCTCTTGCAGGCCCATGGCCCAAATCTGCACATACTCTCAGAGGCAACACCCAATGTAAACACATCAGTGACAAGATGCTGCCTGCAGTCAGTGGCAGTAAGCTACAAACCAGCCCTTGGAGTGGTCTTTACAAGAACCAAATAAAATCACAGAATCATTAAGGCTGACAAAGATCTCTCAGATCATCAAGTCCAGCTACTATCCCAGCAGTGCTGGTGCACACTGACATAAGTGCTCTGCAGAGGATAATGTCTGATGGAATGATCCTGCTGTAACTGAGGCTAAGATGTTTAAATAGGGTTATGTTCCTCTTCAGACACACATACACTAAAAGCAGTTTTTACAGAAGACTGAAAAGCACAGATTATTCCCTAAATACTGGACACACTTTCAGAGAATTGCTATGTGAGTTGTAGAGCTGATCAACAACAAGCCTTGACTTAAACTGAGGGAGAAAGTGAATTGAACACTTCATTCCCACTAATCCTATATTACATTCTTCAGATTAGGAGTATCCTCCTGTTTAGTTTAGCCACCTCTTAGGGCAGATTCAGCTAGAAGGAAGGCATTGTTATTCCAAATAAGTATCTACATACTGAATTATTCAAGATTAATAAAAAATAGCTTTACTGTCTATAGACACGCTTACTATCCACAGAATATTGCCTAGCTGGGCATTTGAGGACAACCACAAGACTGATACAAAGAAGTAAAGCCAGCAGATCTAAATTTCTTGATATTTAAAACCACATCGAAATAGACTTTAGTTAACAAACCTTGAGAGTAGTTAGCATTAGTTAACAAACTTAATCATATATTCATTTATATCATATACTCCTTCTATAATATGTTAAAATATGTATAACATATAATCATGTATTTCTTGGATTATCTACAATTTTCAGTCTCAACTCACTAAAACCACTACCACTTCTCAGCTAAAAACAGTATTTCCTACTACATTAAAGAACTCCAGCTAAAGTACATTAGCTATGAAGTATTGCAGAAAAAGGTCTATACAATAATTCCAAATAAATAAATAGCTAAAAAAAGTCTCCTACTAAGACATCCCATGAGATGCTAGAGAAGAGATTACGACCCACTTTAAATGCCTGTAAAACGCTTGATCAACCGACTTAATTTGCCATATTTTATAGCCTTTCCTAACATGCTTGACACATTCTGCTGCTTGAGAGATTTTTATTACTTCAGCCAACAAAGTCCTCCTTGGCCAGTTAATTTCCAGTATTGCCAGATTACCAACACAAAAGCCTTTCTGTTTTTTGCCAATAAGATTTTAAGCAATATAACCAAGGCTGCGTAAAGTCACCTACCAGGCAGTGCAAGCATAGAGTCAAAATCCCTGCAGTTGGATATTCCAGTGCTGTCTTCTGCACAGCTCTTCCACAGGTTTTCAAACAATGTAGATGTTGTGATCACAGAACCATGGATACTGGAGACTTTCCAGTAATTATTTGGCAAAGTAGCTCCAATAACTGCCAACCCACCCAAGCACAAAAGAAAGCCAACGATTTCCAACGCAGCAGTCATGCTTGTGAGTAGTAACAGTTAAATATCCTTATAATTAGATTACAATCAAGTGAAGCCTTTCAGAAGCCTCCTTGCTGTTTTATCTCTGGGTTTCACTCCAAAATGAGTCTACCTTTGCTCTTTGCTCTTTCCCCATAGATAAGGCTTACTGGGCATGACAATAAGAAGTGGGAGCAGTTCATGATAAAGATATTAATGTGTAAAAAAAGTGACAATATTAATTCTTTTTCTAATAGGAAGTGAAAAATGAGCCTATTCTTTCTCTCAGCCTAGAAAGTCCAGTCAGTATTTCTACAAAATGCCTTGTAAGTATGATAGTATAAGCAAATATTTTATTGCTGTCTCTTTTCTGATGTCAACTAAATTTTACACTAAATTAAAATTGCTTGTAATTTTATTATTGCAGTCAAATAAAAAAAGCTTTTGTGTAATATTCTCTTGAGGATTCAAACATAAAACAGCTTGAGAACAGAAGCTCTATACTTCTGCTAGAAAATTTAGCGCAGTTTTTGGAGTTATGGTTGTAAGTAATCCACAACTGTACTGCCAGCTTCTTTCAGGAAGGTTAAGTTTATGGATGAGTGTTTTCCATTAATATTTTACTGTCTATTGATCTATAGCTAAACACATTCAGTCTTAAAAACAGTCCCACTTACACCGTACAATTGTACAATGTATTACAATTGTAATAACATATGTGTCGTGGAATTGAAATATAAGGAAATGGAGGAGCTAGTGTGACAGACCTGCCTCAAAAGAAATAAAATTATAAAGAAAAACAGCTATAAGAAAAATAATACATATCAGCAAATTGCATCTGTTTGTTAGAATACCTTAGGATTAAAATAAAAAGCTATTCTAGGCAAAGTATATGTTAAACTCAGTTTAGTTACTTCTGCTCATGGCTAGACAGAATGGTAGGCTCAATTCACATCACCCACTCATGTTAATACTTTAAAATACTTGTGGATCCAAATGAGGTTAACCATCCCCTGCAGTGATAACCTGCTCTTATCTCCAGGAAATGGAGTCAGAGTTTCTTCATAAAATAATTCTGCTATGATGCAACATGGTAACAGATCCACAGCATTTATGTAAACACTACCAGAAGGATTACCCTTTGAGAGAGCCACAATTTGTCCCTAACACGTATTGTTGTTTTTCATCAAAATTCACTGGTCACTTTGAGCTGATGCTGTAGGTTGATAGGTTCAGCTGCCAAAGGGTATTACAGTGCCACTATGACATTTTGGCTCCCACAGCAGTCAAGAGGATCATTGCCGTTGATTTAAACCAGACCAGGTTTGGCAGTGTGATCATGTGCAGCTCTAAACTTGCAATCTTTTAAGGAAACCAGATAGCGTGTGGTAAGAATTGATCTCAGGTGACTCTTACAAAATTTCCTCCTTCTGCTAAGCTACTGCAACTTGAAAAATGATGGCATAGTAAAATACTGTACCAGTATTCTGGAGTATCTGCACTTCATTAAAAGCCCTTCAAAGAGTTTCCAGTGAATTTACCCATACACTGGTGCTACGCTGGTGATCTCAGCAATCACTTCTGCTGAGAGGACTTTCAAAGGTGAGATGGATGGGACCTTGAATCGAGTGTCCCTGGTTGTTATACTGCTGCCAAGGATAGAAATAAAAAATTAAGAGTATCATTTTTAAAAAAATCTCTTCCTAGTTAAGAAATGTATTTCAACAGACAGTCATAAAGCACACATATAAACAGAAAAAATTGAACTGCAGACCTGAAGTGCATGGGTTTTCCTATACAGCACCAGGCATTTTAGTAATTCCCTTCAGGAAATCACCCTCCAGTGTGTTAAAGAACATAAGGCTATTCTTCACTGAATTTTGGAGCAATGGGAATAACAGCCAGTACTGCTCTGCATCAGCAGGGCTTAAGAGTTGGTGCTGACAGCTTCACATCAGCACCTTCCACAGCTTGGGAGATTTCCTTTGGGCTTGTTCTAACCCAGTTGGTTGAACTGAACACTGTCATTGTTGGACTCATCCTATCACTGTAATTCCCACAAACTTAAAGCATCCTGGTAGCTACACAGAAGAGGCCCTGGGGAGGAGCTGAAAGGGTACGAGGATGATGTGAAAAGCTGGCATTGCCTCTGATGCAATGAGCAATGTTTTTAAAATTCTTGGAAGCCTCCTTTTGAGGCTACAAAGTCTGGCCTCATTACGGGATGCTGATACTTATTCTTTAACTGGCATCCTCATTATGAAGGCAGATGAGGCCACCAAAGCGAGGGCCCTGCAGAAGAACCATGAACATGCTGAATCTTGAGAGTTAAACTCTCACCCTTTAGAGATCTGCCTTGCAGTTAGGCAGCTCTTACTCCAGGGAAGTCCACATCTGTGTCAAGAAAAACAAGATTCATAGTCTGTGACACATGGTACTTTTAGGGTTTAAGCACTGCACCTTCAGGGTAAATCTGCTGGAAGAGTCCAGACAAATAGCAATGACAGCAAACAGGAACCTGATTATAAAGCACAGTAGACTTGAAGAAATTATATTAACATCACTCATAAAGTGACTGCACAAAGCAGAAAGTTGTAAAAGAATGAAATGCAAGGTTCTGTTTAAGACAGAAAGCTTAACAAAGTACCATTTCCAAAAGCTATAATGAGTTTACTGTTTCTACACTCAGGTTGCTGAGGAAAGAACTTCAGTGTCAATCCCTCAGTCCTTTACTGTAAAGATAGTGCTTACAGAAAGATATTTTTTAAATACAGAATGATACAAACAAATACTTTCCAGCCCCTACTGAGATATTTCTTCTTTCTAGCTGCAGATAAACTACCCTGCTAGCATGGTCGACTCTAGACAACACAGAAGCATCCATCACACAGGTATATTTTAGTCTAAGTTCACCACCTCTGAGAAATTCCAGAAAAAATACCCAGGTACACAGGTTTAGCACAAAGTATCAAACCAGTTCTGGAATATTTAATAATTCTTGTCTCACACCAAAGCACAAACAAACATCAGTGCTCATGGAACTATGATCTGCTTGTATTGAAGAACTAGACTGAGTGAACAGATGCTATTTCTTCCAAAACTATTTTTTAAAAAAATCTCAGATTAACTGTATATAACACATACCTCTATGTGAACACATTAGAGAGGGCAGCAAAGCCACAGCAGTGACTGAGCTGAACTGCAGGGTGAAACATTAGTTTCATGGTGGCCCTTTAACCTGTCTACAACCAAAAGAGGATTTGGCCATACTGGACCTAGATCCTCTGGGACAGCCTCACTCTGTGCCCTCCAACCTCCTAACACGCTGTCCAGAATGAAGGAATAAATCCTTGGATTTTATAAACATATACCTTGACCACTTACGGTCTGAACTCAGCATGTAGAGAAATTTCTTGCACTGTACTGATCCAACACCAGTTGTTGCACAGTCCATCCAAAGACCTTCAGAAACCCAGTCTGCAGTAACCAGCTCTGTCGTGGTGTCCAAAACTTTCCATCTGCTGGACATGGTAGTAACAAGTAATGTGGTGAATCCTGCTAAAGCCAGCAGGAATGCACAAATCTGTAGACAGGATGATGCCATTACGACAGAAGTTTTCTTCAAAGAGATTTCCCAAAATTTCTGGTATTAGAAACCTGTTGAAACAGTTCATACACACATAGTGTATGGAGTTACCTTTACACAAGCCTGACCTTTGCAAAAACATTAAAAAAATGCCTACCTACAAAGTAATGTATCACACAAGGGAACAGTAGAGCTGGGACCTAAATCCCATTAAGTAACTGGAATAATTGAATATTCTATACATTATTTTCTTAGGAAATTTTTTATTATTGTACACGTTTACCACAAAAAAATGCAAACAGAGCAAGACCACAGGACACAACCGAAGAATTCTCTAATTTTAATTTGCAATGTTTCATCCATTCATTACACGTTTGCTGACTCAAAATTTATTTAAAAATGAAAACTATCAAATGCTTTAGTAAATTATTAATCTCCCAATTACAATATCTACCAATACAAATTTAAATCAAGATAAATTGTGATACTCACGTTTATGCTATACTTCTAACCTGTTTCCTCTACGTTCTTGAGATACTTGTGTCAGCACTTTGTGATGACCGATTCGATCACCCGAGTGAAAGTTTTGTACTCTTTAGGACCTTTGTCCCATTCTAAAAATCAAGGACCCAGGACCAAAGCTCTGTCCCACTGTTGCACAAAGATCTGGCATGGCTTTTCACTATAGCAAAGTGTCAGTGGAAGGGAAAATTACCAGATATTTATGTAAATTAGTACCAAATATACTCAGATTAACCTGCATATAATTTGCTTTGTCAGGACCACTGAGCTGCCCAAGCACCATCAGAGTGCAGAGCAATGCAGAAACATGGCTGCAACATACACAGTGGTTGTTTTACCTGAATTTTTTATGCATTTTTCTAGGACACTTTTTAAAGAAGAAATATGCAGCTGGGCACCTGTCCAGTGGATGACATTAACAAAGCAAACTGTTTGTGCCTGCAGCCACGGCTCAAAGCAGGACAGACCTCCCAGGCTCCCAGCCTAAAGAGGTCTGGCAGCCTTGGACAGCTCTGCAGCCACTTTGCTGCTGCAGTTCCTCTTCTCTTTGCCTTTCTCTTTCTCAAGGAGCCACCCTCACTCACCCCTTGAGTGGGACCCCTTGTCCCACAGCAAAACAGGCATCCAGGAAGGTGCATGCACATCCATCCCCTTTCAACCCCTTCCATGGACACCTTACCCTACAGGACCTGATTGTACCAGCTGTCACACAGTGTCATATTTATAAGATTGAGGTGATGGCACAGCTGATAGCAAATATGGATTGCAACTATCCAAAGGAGAATGACTATAAACCAAACATGAATAAATACACAAGGTCCAGAGCATCATCCCTCACAAAGTACACACATAGGCTATATGCAAGTAAGAGCTGTAATGTGATAAAAACAAACCCTGGGGGAGCAAAAAGGATCACTGTAACATTAAAAACAGCACAGATAAAATGTATGTGGTTTGAACACAGTGCAGGAAGGGTTAACAAAGAAAAATATTGAAGTCACTTAAATAAACAAATTACTCCTGATAAGGTCTTTGGAAGTAAAATTGACTGGTGAAAGTGTCTAAAATGGAAAGTTAAAAATCTCTTTTACTTCTTTATCATTTTGTTACATAGAAAAACAGAGAAAGAGCATTGATTACAAGTTTCTTTAGTATATAGACATTTCTAACATCAGCAATATATGTCTTTGTACCCACTAATCACTTCTCAGTTCCGGCACATTCTGAGGCTGACCCATGGCCAGCAGCACAATCAGAAAAAGATAAAATGCCAATTTAAATATGGTACTAAGCCACTTAGAGCGGTTTCCCACCACAGTTCACAGAGGTTTTCTCTGGTCAGAGCCTGACCTTGGGGTGAGAAGGCTGGTTAGTGGGGGGAAAAAAAGGTAAGAAAAAAAAAAAAAAGGAACAATGTTAAGTCATTTCCAACGCTTCCAAAGAATGACTTTGTAACTTTGCTCCTGAAGTTGTCATAACATCTTAATAACCTAATCAGTCTTATAGCCACTTGCAATTACAATATGCAGATCACTCTCAACTTGTTATTAACTTAGCCTTCACACAACGTACTACAAAATAACTTGGGTTGGAAGGGGCCACACAGATGCCATTTTCCCACTAAAGCAGAGTTTCACTGATGGGTCAGGTCACCCAAGCCTTATCCAGTCACAACAGAGCAGTCTCCAGAGCTGGAATTTGCACAACACCCTCCTGTGGAGCATGTTCCTCGCACCCGTGCAGAACTTTTCCTGCTGCAATACGTGACTGCTGCCTCTCGTTGTCCACGTGCACCCTTGAGATAAACCACTGTTTATTCTGCTACTGGATTTTGGCAGCTCTGCACTCTGTCTGGTGGCCCAGGTGTGACTGGCATTGTGTAGGTGGCTTAGATGTCCCATGAGTGTCTCCACAGCAAAACAGGCAACCAGGAAGGTGCACACAACTTCTTCAGATTTACAAGCTACTTTCAAAGCAAACATCTGTTTATTTTCCCATTTAATTTCAGGAGGCTGGCGGTGTGTACAGCAGACTGTTCTCTGCTAACACAGCTCTCCAGCCCTGCAGAGCTTTGCTGGCATGGAGATGGTGCTGGAAAGAGCAGCACAGTTTCAGAGAGCAGGAGCAGGGGGCAACTGTGGCACCTGCTCAAGCATGTGTGGGTAACTACAGAATCATAGAGTCACCAAGGTTGGAAGAGACCTTTCAGATCATCCAGTCCAACTGTCCACCCAGCACTGCTACTGTACCCCCTACCGTACTAGACCACATCACCCAGCACCAGGTCCAGATGCCTTTTGAGCACCTGTACCACCACCCTGGCAACCTGTTCTGATGCCTGACCTCCTGAACAGAAAAAATTATGTTTCTAATATTTAATCTGAATGTCCCACCTCAGCTTAAAGCCATTTCCTCTGGTCCTCTCACCGCAGACACTGCAGAAGAGACCGGCCCCATCTCACTACAGCCTCCTGCCAGGGAGCTGTACAGAGCAAGGAGGTCCCTCCTGAGCTCCTGGAGACCAAAGAGCCCCCGCTCCCTCAGCCACTCCTCATAAGACAAGTTTTCTAACCTCTCACGAGCCTTGGTGCCCTTCACTGGACAGGCTCCAGCACCTCAATGTCCTTTTTAAAATGAGGGGCCAAAACTGCATGCAGAACTTGAGGTGTGGCTTCACCCATGCCAAGTACAGGGGATGATCACTTCCCTGGTCCTGCTGGCTAAACTATTCTTGATACAGATACAGGGAAGAACCTGGAAGGAGGTGGCGGGGTGGAAATCTGGTCATCCAGCAGCCCTTTGCTGGAGCAGCCAGGTGGTGAGGTGAGGTGGGGTGGGGTGAGGTGACGTGGGGCAGGGTGGAGGAGCCCAGGGAGGGAAGGTGCTGAGGTGTGGCAAGGTGATGTGGAGCCACACAGGGAGCAAGGCAGCGCTGAGGCAGCAGCTCCAGCCTCCACCTCACCTCCAGGGCTGCTGTGGGCTAGGAGGAAACAGACTCTGCCTATTCCATAAGGCTTCTGGAGAGCAGTACAACAAATCAGCCCTCCAGAGAGACCTTGAGAAATCAGAGGGCTGGGCAATCATCAGCTGTGTGAAATTTCTTTTGAAAGTGCTGGATTCTGCACCTGGGATGGTACAACCTCAATGTACCTACAAAGTGGGAAACAAGACCCTGGAAAGCAGTGCCACGGAAAAGGACCTGGAGGTCCTGCTCAGTGGCAAGTTGAATATGAATCAGCAGTAACCTGGCAACCAGGAGGGCCAGCTGTGTCCTGGGGGGCAGCAGGCACAGCATCGCCACTCAGGCCAGAGTGGGAATGTTCCAGTCTGCTCTGCTCAGAGATGGCTTCACCTTGAGTCCTGGGGGGGAGTTCTGGACACCACAATAGAAAAATCACATCAAGCTATTTGAGTGTCCAAAGGAGGGCCACAAGGATGGAAAAGAGCCTTGAGAAGCCAAATGAGAAGAGGCAGAGGACACTTGGTCTGTTCAGCCTGGAGAAGACTGAGAAGAGACCTCATTGCAGTCTGCGACTTCCTCTTGAGGGGAAGAGGAGGGGCAGGCACTGAGCTGTGGTGCCCAGTGGCAGGACCAGAGGGAATGGCCTGAAGCTGTGTCAGGGCAGGTTTAGGTTGGATATTGGAAAAAGGTTCTTCATTGAGACGGTGGTTGGTCACTGGGATAGGCTCTCCAAGGAAGTGGACACATTACCACGCCTGTCAGGGTTCAAGGAGCATTTGGACAACACTCAGGGATACATTGTGGGATTCTTAGGGCTGGTCCTGTGCGGAGCTAGTAGTTGGACTCGATGGCTCACGTTGCACCCTTGTGGGTCTCGTGCAATTCAGCATATTTTGTGATTCTGTGAAGTCTCGGCAGCCCATGGCTTCACGGCACCAGCACTGCTGACCAAGGGGGCCGCGGCGGTGAAGGCGCTGCCACGCTCATCATGGCGGCACAGCAGGCCCCACCCACCCGATATGGCGGCCCCGGGAGGGCTCCGACCCGGCGGCGCTGCCCGCTGAGCCCCGGCGCCGGCACCGGGAGCCGAGCTGGCACCCGTCCACCCTCCGTGCGGAGCGGCCGAGGAGCCGCGGGGAGCCGCGCCCGCCCTTTGCCATGCGGTGACCGAGCGGCTCCTCCGCCATCGGCGGGAAGATGTCGCCCGGCTGCCCCGGAAGCGCTCGGGGAGGCGCCAACATGGCGTGGCGGTGCTGGGCCCGCGCCGGGGGTCCGCGGCCGCACAGGTACTGCCGGCACGGCACGGGGCAGGGAGTGTAAGGGAGGAAAGAGGCTGTTGGGGCGGGCGGTGCTGACGGTTCGCGTTTCTCCCGCAGGCTGGCGGTGCTGCTGCTGCAGCCGCGGCGGGGTTTCCGCCGGGCGCGGCCGCGGCCCGAGGAGCCCCCGGCAGCCGCCGCCGAGGCGCGGCCTGTGGCGCCGTCCCCGCGCCGCAGCCTCTGCCCGCCCTCACCCACCGCGGCCGCCGGCCGCCCCTCGCCGCGCCGCCTGGTGAAACCGCTCCTGTTCACCGTAGGGGTAAGTGGCTCCTGCGGGCCGGGTGCTGTACCCGGCTGCGGGGAGCGGGTCGGTAAGGACCGTATCCCATCTTTCTCAGGGGAATGCTTCCTTCTTGGACTTCGCTTCTCAGTACCTTAGAATTAACGCAAGGTTGTTGGCCAAATACCGTGGCGTTATACTGAGCTAATGCAAAGTAACTTCAGATAAATCAATGGAAATATTGTAAAGGTATTCCAGTTTCATTCCATTTCGGTGAACTTAGTCATTTCGTTGACCAGTTTTGTTTGTGAGCCTTTTTGATAAAGCATCCGATGACACTGGATGATTTACTTGAGTAAACTTGAGGAAATGGCCTCAAGATGCACAAGGAAAGATTTAGGTTAGATGTTAGGAAAAAAAAAAAAAATAACAGAAGGGGTTGCAAAGTGTTGAAACAGGCTGCCCAGAGCAATGGTGGAGTTCCCATCCCTGAAAGTGTTCAGAAAACACGTGGATGTGGCACTCGAGGACGTGGTGAAGTCGGTGGTGGTGCTGGAT